GAAATCCCCTCAGGATTTATCCTGAGATCCTGTACCCCAGATTGTAGAACCTTTGTCAGTGTCAGCCATGTGGATGAGTCACGGCCATTGCTTGGACAATGTGCTCTCTGTGAAAGCCTGAGAAAATGTTTTCTCTCGAAGTGACTCTCCTCAGGCACACTCTACATCACTTTCCTCTTTGACCCCATAATCTCCTTGATCAGAAAATTTGGGACACTACCGAGTACAAGTTCTCATATGTCCTGAGTCTTAATTGACCTTGGAAGGCTAGGGCCAAAATGTTGACTTTTCTTGCGGCCCTCCTTTTTCTCTAATTTTGGTCTGCAAACTTAGGTTGTTAACCATCCAAAAGACAAGCTTTGTTATTACCGTGCAACTAGGCTGTTAAACTTAACTTCAATATCTGTCTGAATATCAGACATCTTAGGCATAACATGGAACAGGTATTTTTCATCAAGTATTGATATGTTGAACTTTAAGTCCTTACAGAATATGATGAAAAAACATTTAAAAATTAGAATGTATTTTTAAAAATAGGCATAAAGGATTATATACTTCTTATGTTCACACGTAAGTCCAAAAATCTAACCATATACAACCTTGAAGCAGGACAGTCCCACAATGTTCCTTTTCCTGTCTCCTGCCTTCATTCACCACCCCCTTGTTTTTGAACAGTCATCTACCTGAGAGACAGCACAACACCAACTGGCATGTCATGACAAGCAGCCCATATTCAGAAGACCACAATGACAGGTACTACAAGCATAAAACTACTATTACAGATTACCATCTTCAGTGCTGTTGCTTATTTCACAGGTATCAGTATATACAGTTAGTCAGGGTGAGAATCTTTCCAATTAACTGCTAGATTCAAAAATTTTCTGGAGATTTTCAGCATCATTGCCTTGCCCATCTTCTACATATAACTGCATGGCTTGATATTGTCATGTTTCCTAGCTCTTCTCCTTTCCCTCTTTAGATTAGTAAGTCCTCGAGTTCCTGCTTTCCTTTTACTTGTATCATACCTTTCTACTTGTATTTCTTCTTTTGAGTTCTTATACTAGGGAAACTATATGATATTTACACATGTGTGTCTGGTTTGTTTCACTTATGAGTGTATCTTCAAGTGACATCCACTTCAACATAAAGGCTTAGAGTTTATCATTCTTAATAGCTGAATAATACTCCATTGTGTAAAAGTACCACATCTTTTTCAACCATTCCTCAGGTGATGGCCATCTTGCTTGTTTCCAAGATTTGGCTATCACAAATTGTGCTGCTGTAAACATAGACACACATATATCCCTATGATATGATGTTTTCAGATCCTACGGGAAAATTCCCAGTAGAGGAATAGCTGGTATAAATGGGATTTCCAGACCAACTTTTCTAAGGAGTCTCCACACTGATTTCCATAATGGTTGCACCAGTCTACATTCCCACCAGCAGTGGAGAAGGGTTCCTTTTTCCCCACAGC